CTGAGCCCCAGTGCCCAGGGCTGAAGCCCTCAGGCTTCAGCTTCAGCTCTGGGTGGTGGGGCTCGAGCTTCGGCCCCAGGCCCCAGCACGTCTAAGCCAGCCCTGGCAACCCCATTAAAACAGGGTCACAACCCACTTTGGGGTCTTGACCCACAGTTTGAGAACCGCTGAAATAGACTAAACACCAGTCCTAATACCCAACTTTGAGGCACCCCACTGCTAACCTTTTTACATATGAAAATAGACCATTTATTCCTGCTCTTTGTTTTCTGTCGTTTAGCAGGTTTCTGATCTAGGACAATACTGTACCCCTCACCCCATGATGACTTAGGCTATGTCTGCACTACAGAGCTTCTAACACTACAGCTGTACCAATGCAGCCGTGCCACTGTAAGATCTCTAGTGTAGCCACTCTTTGCCGACGGGAGAGAGTTCTCCCATCGGCATAATGATTCACCTCCAGCGGGCGGAGGTAGCTATGTGGGAAGGAGAGTTTCTCTCACCTACATAGCGCTGTGCACACTAACACTTATGTCAGTGTAACGTACGTTGCTCAGGGGGTGGAATATTCACACCTCTAAGTGATATAAGTTTTTCAGACATAAGTGGTAGTGTAGACAGCCTTAATTTCCTTAATAACCTTTTGCGAGGAACTTTTTCAAAAACTTTTTGAAAGTGCACATCAATTATGCCAGTGGGTTCTCCTTTGTGCCATACTGTACTGACATACTCACTGACATTTCATAGATTAGTGAGACACAAGCCTAGTCTATTCTAGGAATTTATATTGGTATAGCTACATTTTTCAGGAGTGTGAATAGAGTGTGAATCCACCAAGCTAACCCCTGGTATAGACAGTGCTAGGTTGACGAAAGAATAAGCCTAGCTACTGACTTTGGGGGAGGTGGGTTACCTGTGACGATGGGAGAATCCCTCCCCTCAGCGTAGGGAGTGTCGATGCTGAAGCCCCCCAGCAGCAGTGGTGCAACTGCACTGCTGTAGGGGTTTACGTGTAGACCTACCCACAGTTTTCTTTTCCAGCTGTGCTAGTTGGACTTTTTCCCATCATTCTCATACAGCTGATTTAGAATTCTGGTTTAGTTCTTGTTTCAGCCAGTTTACCAGGCACTGACGTAAGGCTCACTGGGCTGTAACTCTCAGAATTACTCCGGCCAATTTTTTTAAGCTGGGTACAACATTCCCAACCCTCTGAATCTCCAGAAGTGTAGCTGATTTTAATGAGAGATGTGTATTATCGTTAGCAGTTCAGCCATATCGCTCTGACGTCATTTCAGAACTCTTGGGCGTTTGGCACCTGGCAGGGATCTACGCTGCTCATGGTGGCTGCTGGCTCTTTAACTTATCAGTTGTTCCAATATCTCGTCTTCACACCTCAATCCCTGATATTCATTTCCTGAACAGAGCAGCTCCAGGGCAGGTCTCTCCCCAACATTCTCTGTGGTGCAAACTGATGCAAAGAAATAAGCCAGTCTCTCAGCATTGTCCTTACCCTCCTCAATTGCTCCATTTGTCCCCTGCGGATCCAGGGGACCCATCGATTCTCTCACAGGCTTCCTGATTCTGATGGACTGAAATAATTCCCTAGTATTTGTTTGATATCTCTGGCTGTTCACTGCTAATTCCATTTAGCCTCCTAATTCCCATCATGCACTTCACCTGATGTACTTTATGCTCCTTTCTGCTGGCTTCACAGGGTTAATATTTTCCACTTGCTGAGGGATCCCTGTTTGGCTCTACCACCTCCTTCACCTGGACAGGTGGGGTTACAATATTTCTCCCCTTGCTAATTCCTTTGCTGCTCAGGCGGTGCCAGGCTCTGGTTGCTGACGTAGCCTCCAGGTTGAGTCTAAGGGTATGTCTTCACTACGCGCCGATCCGGCGGGTAGCAATCGGTCTATCGGGGATCGACTTACCGCGTCTCGTGAGGACGCGGTAAAATCGATCCCTGATCGCTCTGCCATCGACTCCGGAAATCCACCTCGGCAAGAGGCGGCAGCGGAGTCGGCGGCAGCGCGGCAGCGGTCGACTTTCCCCCGTCCTCACCGCCAGGTAAGCTGACCTAAAATACGCAACTTCAGCTACGATATTCACGTAGCTGAAGTTGCGTATCTTAGGTCGGAACCCCGCTGTAGTGTAGACCCAGCCTAAGGATTTTAACTTCCCTGCTTTAAAGTCTTTTTGACTCACTTCTCTTCTGCAAGATAATGTGATATTAGGGTGACCAGACAGCAAGTGTGAAAAATCAGGACAGGGGATGGGGGGTAATAGGCGCCTATATAAGACAAAGCCCCAAATAGCGGGACTGTCCCTATAAAATCAGGACATCTGGTCACTTTATGTGATATTGACTCATTTCTCTTTGTTTTATTTTCAGACAAACTCCAGGTTCAGCTCAGTAAGTTCCATTCCCCCCTGTATCACCCTGTGTGACATTGTCTCCTGCTCAGCGTGTCGGTGTTCAGGGGCGTTCTCACTCCTCTGTCTGTGTTTGGTTGCAGGGTGGAGAAGCGCCCAGATCTACGCAGGTACTGTACATACCACTGATGTTTTATCCATGGTGAGGCCCCACCTCCCCCTGGGAGTTCTCTGCTCCTTTCCCTGCACAGAGCATTTTCCTATGACATTCAATAGGCTGGAAACAGCAATGTCACTGGGGTGGATGGAAAGGGGCAGGCAACATCCCAGGTTTATTGCAGAGCAGGGACCTGCCCCCTTTGGGAAAGGGCTGATTGGTGAGGGAATACTGCCCCCTGGTGTCACCTTTGCAGGGCCGTACCTGGGCTCTGCAGGATGGACATTCTTAGCTGTGCATCATTTGCCCTGAACTGCTCGGCTCTCTCCTCCCAGCAGCATCACCATGCTCAGACCGAGCTTTAGCCACAATTTTCTTCTAGCACAACAGGACCAGACAGGAGCTGTTCAGTGTCCCCCTGGATTTGGGGGGGAGGGAGGCCCTGACCCCACTGCAAGAGCAGACACGTTTTTATATCCAGCTTGTGACGCTCCCCTGAACCAGTTTCAACAACAAACTGTGCCCCGCCCACACGGCAGATTTTCTCACTCGCTGCCCCATGCCTGCGGCTCCTAGACTCTCTGGACCCAGAGCTCCCTCTGTGCAGGTACGGCCACCCCGCAGTCCCCCTGCTACAGCCACTGACACACCCGGGCCTTGTAACGTCTTGGACAGACTCACAGATTTCCCAGGACAGCGACCTGAACAAAGGGACAATCCTGGGAAAACCTGGACAGGTGCCAACCCTAGTCCTGTCCACACAGCACAGTAACACCCAGCTGAGCCAGGTACAGGCAGCCAGACACGTGCCAGCCCAGCCCCTGGCAGGGACGCTGAGCTACCATGGTCACTAAGAGTGTTAACTCCCCAACGTGCCACACACCACGCTTAGAGCCCCCAGGGCCCTGGGCCCAGCCCAGAACAGCTGTCACCTAGACTCATGGCAATGCAGGGCTGGACGGGACCTTGAGAGGTCACCTAGTCCAGCCCCCCATGTTGGGTCAGGGCCTAGAACATCCCTGGCAGGGGTTTGTCCAGTTCTTACAAACCGCCAGTGACGGGGATCCCACAACCTCCCTTGGAGCCGGGTCCAGAACGTCACTGCCCTGAGAGTTAGAAAGTGTTTCCTCATCTCCAGCCTCAGTCTCCCTTGCTGCAGATTGCGTCCATTGCTCCTTGGACAGACCCTCGCCCTGCCCGCTGGGGCACTGGGGATGTCACCGAGTGTGAGCATCGCTGGTATCGCACTGCGGGGGGGAGGGGAACCAGCTGGCTCAGGGGGGCAGCTGGGGCCTTTCACTCCCCAGTCACCGATCTCAGCAAAAGCTCAGAGTCCGGTTCCCAGCAGGCAGGAGCTCCCATCATAGCTCACATTAATGGCAGCCTCACCGGCCACCTCCGCAGGGAGGCCAAGGCCTGATCAGGCCCCAGGGACGGTTCCTCCCCAGGGAGAGACTCCAGCAGGTGTCAGGGTTGAGCCATGTTGGCAGGACAGTGGGGGGCTCACACGGCCGCTGTGATGTCCTCGCACCCTCAATACACAGAGCTCCAGCAGGAGGGGTGTAAAACCCCACTTGTACCCCCCGCACTGAGCTCACTGACACTGCCCCAAGCCCCCTCTCCTCCCCAGGATGGGGGGGGTGAGTTAGGGGCACCAGAAGAGCGGGTTGCAGGGAGCTATGGCCCCATCACTTTTAAAAGTGGGAGGGTTTGGCCTCCCACTTTTTACTGGCCATAAGGGTTAGGGTTAGAGAGAAGCGACTGGAGGGACAGGGTCTTGGGGGGAAGAGGCGGTGCAGGGAGAAGGGGTGGTGTGGGGACAGGAGCTTGGGGCAAAGGGTGGAGTAGGAGTGGGGCCTTGGGAGGAAGGGGCTGCACGGGAGGAAGGGGCTGCACAGGTGGGCAGGGCCACGGTTCAGGGACCAGTGGGCCCTCTACTTTTAGAGACCTTGCATCACTCCTGGGGAGAGTACCATTCCAGATCCTGATCCCAAAGCCCAGAGGTGCCAACTTCTAATGTACCAGGGGGATGGTCAACAACCACACTGCCCCAGGCCCCACCCCCACTACACACCTCCTCCAATGCCCCACCCCCACCCTTCCTCTTTCCGCCCCACTCCACCCCCACCCCACCTCTTCCCTCCCTGTTCCGCCCCCTCCCCCGAGCACACCCTGCCGTAGCTCCTCCCCCTCACCCCAGTGCCTCCTGCAGGCCGCTAAACAGCTGATCACAGTGGGTGTGAGGTGCTTGGAGGGAGGGGGAGGTGCTGATCATCGGGACCACTGGCAGGGGAGGTGCTGGGGCGAGGGGGAGGAGCTGATTGGTGGGGTTCCTGGTGCATGCCCAGCACCCACCATTTTTTTTCCATGGGTGCTCCAGCTCTCCCCAGGACTGATGCAAGCTCTCTAAAAGTAGAGGGGCCACTGGTCCTTGAACCGTGGCCCTACCCACCTGTGCCGCCCCTTCCTCCCAAGGCTGGAGCACCCTGGAGCACCCACAGATTCAGCGCCTATGCACATCTGTGTATTTGCTGGATGCGCAGAGCTCTCTGGGTGGAGACACTTTCACACTGACCCAGGAATTGGTGCTGGGAGGCCCCAATGCCCAGGAGGCTGAGGGCTCTCACTCCCCGGCCCTGGGGAGTGAAGGGAGGGGCCCTGGGGCTGCTGTTCCCTGTCCCAGAAATAGGGTGAAGGGGACTTGGACACAGACAATGTCCCGGCTTGTGCTGTGAGGGGCAGACCTGGCTCCACCCTGGGGTTCAGAGCCTGAGCTCCAGCCTGAGCCTGAATGTCTACGTGGCTATTTTTAGGGCCAAAGAGGGAGCCCCGCAAGCCTGAATCTGTCCACCCAGTTCTGAGACTCGCTGCCGAGGGCTGTGCAGATGAACCCAAAGTGTCTCCAGAGTCTGGGTGTGAAAGTTCCCAGCGTGTCTGACCCAGGGCTGGTTAATGAGAGCGAGGGAGCTGGCTGGCGCAGTCGTTAGATGGAGACACCTGAGCCCCCCTGGGGCTCTGAGATGGTCTTGGGTGATCATTATCTGCTCTGGGAGAAGCCTAGGCGCATCTACAGAGGGTCTGTGCTGCTGGCAGAGTCCATGGGACAAATCACTCTGGGCAGAGAGTTCAGGCTGGAGCCGAGTCTCCATTTTCAGCCTGATTTTGGGGTTGAGATCAGGAGTCCAGGGGGATTTTTTCTATCCAGGGCAAATTAAATAGCAGCTCTGGAGTGTTTCATAGCTGATGTCCTGTGTCTGGCCTGCCCATAACTGCGTTTCTGGGGGTGTTGACAGTCACTCACTGCGAGTCACTGGGATTTGGGCTCCTAAGTTGCTCAGACAGGTTTGCAGTGGAGCTGGGTGAAATTTGGGTACAAATAGTTTGTTTGCAGAAAAATTATATTTCGGTTAGACTGAAGCTATTTGCCAATCTATGTCGAGTTTGCTGAATAGTTTTAATGAACAGAAAAAGGTGCCACCACTTCCCTTCTAGCCTTTAGCCCAGTGGCTGGGCCCTCAGCTGGGAGCCCCAGGTTCAATCCCCCCAGGTGATGTGGGGAAAGAATTGGAATTTGGGTGTGTGTCCCGTCCCCCCCCCCCAGGTGAGGGCTGGAACCGCTGGGCTCCTGGTGTCTGGTGTGGGGCTCCCTCAATCTCTCCTGCTGAAGTCGTCCCCCTGTGTCTAAACACTGCCATGGGCACTGGGCCAGAGCATGGGAGTGAGAATGACTCTGCAGCCCAGTGGGTCGGGCCCCCACCTGGGAGCCCAGAGTCCAGCTCCCCTGCTCCAGTCAGGGCCGGCTCTGGCTTTTTTGCCGCCCTAGGCAAAAAAGCCTCTGGCCGCCCCTCCCCCCCCGTGGCCGAGGGAAGGGCACCAGGGGGAGGGCGGCCAGAGCGCCGGGGGGAGGGCGGCGAGCCCGGCCGTGGCCCCGCTCTCCCCGGGGGCCGGAGTGCCGCGCCGCCCCGCTCCAGGTGCCGCCCCAAGCACAAGCTTGGTGGGCTGGTGCCTGGAGCCGGCCCTGGCTCCAGTGACCCTGTAATTATTGATCCATAACCCCAGTGAGGGGAGGGGTTACGGCTCCTGGTACAGGAGTGTCTCAACCATGTCGGTGCTCCCGTGCAAACCCCTAGTGCAGACGTGCTGCACAGGTGTGAACTGGGACTGGCCCCTGGTGCAGCTTCTCCCAGATGGAGGAAGCAGGATCCTGTCTGAGGATCAGAAACATGTGAGACGCAGAGACACATGTCAGGATCTGCCTGACAATCCTGAGAGATTTGATTATCTGATTATTGTGTGTTTGTCCTGTGCGTGGGGACGGCACCAACCTGCTCTTAGTAACAAACCAACCACACGGCCCCAGACCAACAGAGATTCCCTGGGGCCTGCCCCCTTCACCCCTCTGCACCCATGGCACATGCCCCCCCCTTACCCTTCCCTCACCCCTGTGCTCACCTGGCCCCTGCCTCTATCCTCCCCCCTCCACCTCGCCCTACCCCTTCCTTTCAACCCCTTTCTGCTCCCCTTGGCCCCTGCCCCGTTCCCCCACTTTGTCTCCCTGGCACGTGCCCCTGCCCTCCACCCACCTCTCCTCCTCTAGAACTCCCCCTCCCTTCATCCCCCTGCCCTCCTGGCACCTCCCCCTCTCCCCAAACACCCTCTGCACCCTGGAGCCCACCCCCCACTTCACCCCCTGCTACCACCTGCAGGCCTCCTGACCGCAATTCTGGGCCCCGGGGCAGAAAAGTCAATGGGCCCCCTGCACGCACAAGCTGCACCCGCGTGGATGCTGTCCGCTTGGCATTAGGGCCGTGCTGCACCTGCGCTGACTGGTGCCCAGCGAGCTGTTGGTTGCGCTGCTGGCCGCGCTCTTGTGGCACGGCCAGGGCTTCCACATGCCCACCTGGTAGGGTTGCCAACTGTTTAATCACGCAAACCCTGCCCCTTCCCTGAGGCCATGCCCCTGTCCCATCCCTTCTCTAAGGCCCCGCCCCCGCTCACCCCATCCGCCCTCCCTCTGTCGCTCACTCTCCCCCACCCTCACTCAGTTTCACTAGGCCGGGGCAGGAGGTTGGGATGCAGGAGGAGGTATGGGGTGCAGGCTCTGAGAGGGAGATTGGGAGTGGGAGGAGTTTGGGGTCGGGCTTTGGGAGGAAGTTTGGCTGCAAGAGAGGGTGTGGGCTATGGGAGGGAGTGTGGTTGCTGGGTGTATGCTCTCGGAGGGGTGTGGAGGGCGAACTCTAGGCTAGGGCAGGGGGTTAGGGGGTCGGCACTTACCTCAGGTGGCTCCCAAAAGCAGCCGGCACACCCCTCTGGCAGCGGCTCCTAGGTGGGGCAGCCAGAGGGTCTCCATGTACTGCTGCCCACCAATGGGAGCCTTCCTTCTCCCACACAGACCCCCTCCCCTTGCCCCCTGGCACAAGCTCCTTCTCTCACCCTCTGCACTCTGGTGCCTGCCCCTTCCCTCACTCCTTCTACCCTCTGGGTCCTGCTCCTCCCCTCATGTTCCCTCGCCCCCCCACAGTGCCCACACCTCCCTTCACACCCCTCTGTCCTTCTAGGGCCTGCCCTTTTCCACACTTCTCTCTCTGTCCCCTCATGCTCACCTGCTCCCTCACCGCCCACTCTGCCCCCTGCCCTCCTTGCATCTGCCCCTCTGCTCAGCCCCCTCCCCAACCCTCCTGGGGTTTGCCCCTTCCCACCATCTCCCTCTTGGTGCCCACCTCTCCCCTCACTCCCCCCATTCCCCTCTGGTGCCTGCCCCACCCCTCACTGTCTTTGTCCCCTGGTCACCTGCGCCTTCCCCCATCCCCTCCTTTGCCCACCTCATGCCCGTTCCCTCGCCCCCCTCTAGCCCCCATGTGCCAACCCCTCCTTTTTCACCCCCTCTGCCTCCCTGGTGCCTGCCCCTCCATTCACCCCTTGTGTCAGGTGGTGCAACCCCCTTCCTTCTGCCCCCCTCTGTGCCCCAGTGCCTACCCCTTTTCCTGCCCCCCTTTGGTCCCCTGATGCCCACCCCTCCCCTCTCTCCCCTTAGGCACCAACCCCTCCTCTCACCCCCCTCTACCCCTGGGGCCTGCCCCTCCTCTTCCATTCCTCCCCTCACCCCACTTTGTCCCCTGGCACCAGCCCCTCCCCTCTCCCTGCTCTGTCCTCCAGTGACCCCCCTGCCCTAGCCAGCTCCTCTCCTCCAGGTTCCTGCCTCACTCTGTCCCCTTGGCGCCTGCCCATTCCCTCCCCCCCCCCCATGCTCCGGGTGCCTGCCCCACTCCTCATCCCCCCACCACTGGCACCTGTCCCTCCCCTCGACTCTGATCTGCCCCTCTGGAGTCCACCCCTCTCCTCATTTCTCCTGCCCCTTGGAGCCCCCCCATTCCCTCACACCCCTTTGCCCCCTGCTACCCGCCCCTTCCTTTGCTTCCCTGTGCCCCCTGGGGTCTGTCCCCTTCTTCTTGATGCCCACCCCTCCCTTCACCCCCTGGAACCGGCCCTTCCCTCCCCCTCCCACTCCTGATGCAGGCTTCTTCCCTTGCCCCCCATTGCTCTTGTGCCTGCCCCTCCCCTCACTCATCTCTGTTCCTCCCCTTTCCTCTCCCAGTATCAGCCTGGCCCCTCCCAGTCACTCTACTGCCCTCCCCTCCCCCTCCCGCACCGACACCTCCCCCCCACACCTTCCTGTCCTTCACCTCAAGGTCTCACAGGCAGAGGGGTCCTGACTCCCCTCAGGCAACAACCCCTCCCCCCCCCAGCAATTAACGGGGACGCAGGTTAATTTCCCTTTGATCCCAGTGACCAGCCCCTGCCCCTGGCCCTGGCCCTGGCCCTGACTCTGTGACTCTCTCCCCAGTGGACGTGACTCTGGATCCAGACACGGCAAATACCTGGCTCATCCTGTCTGAGGATCGGAAACGTGTAACAGATAGAAACACACGCCAGGATCTGCCCAACAACCCTGAGAGATTTGATACTTGTCCCTGTGTCCTGGGTGCTGAGGGGTTCACGGGTGGGAGGCGTTACTGGGAGGTGGAGGTGGGAGACAAGACTAGATGGACTCTGGGGGTTTGTAGGGAATCTGTGAGCAGGAAAGGGAAGCTTACATGGACACCTGTGAATGGATACTGGGTCATGTGGCTGAGGGATGGGGAATACAAGGCCCTCACCTCCCTCAGGACCCCCCTCCCCATGCTCGTCAGGCCCAGCCGGGTGGGGATTTTCCTGGACTATGAGGCGGGCGAGGTCTCATTTTACAATGTGACTGACAGGTCCCATCTCTTCACTTTCACTGACACCTTCTCCGGGACGCTCCACCCTTATTTCTGTCCCGGTCACAGTGATGGGAGTACAAACGCGGCTCCCCTGATAATCTGCCCAGTCCCAGCTGAGGCCGGAGGGAATCTCTGTCCCTGACAGTGACCCCGCGGTACAGACTGTCCCCTCCCAGCGCTGCTGCTCTTCCCGCCCCCAGTGGTGGGGGTCAGTTAGTGCCGGCAATTGGACTTTTTGTGCTGACCGGATGCTGCCAGTTTCCCTTTTCAGCTGGAGGTTCCAGTTGAAAACCGGACACCTGGCAACCCCCAGCCCTCACCTTCCCTGTCCCCTGCCCCAGGGGTAGCAGATGGTGGTGGATGGCGTCATTCACTCCTGTCAGAATTTTCTACCCCTGTGAAATCTCAATGTAAAATATGAAAGAAAAAAGATTATTCTAATTTAGAAAATAATATTATAACAAAGTGTAAATACAAGAATATTTTAATTTACATTTCAACAGTATTTCACAAACAAGCTTCTAAACATAATTTTAGAAATGGAATTATTTACATTTATTTTTTGATTCTTCTCTCAAATCTATATTGAAGTTTAACTTCTCTAAATAACGTCATTTGCATTTCAACTGTGGAATTTCAAGAAATCCAAAATATTTATCTTAACAAAATAAACTATTAAATTGTCAGACTGGGTTGTTCAGTTACAATGTACATGTGTCATAAACATCACAACTACACACATGTGCAGCTGCTCTCTCTCTCTCTCCCCCTCTCTTTATTGTCTTGACTGGTTCTCTCTGGCAGGCAGGGCACATACACCCACCTCCTGTACTACACCTTTGACAATTAATAGGTGAAAAAATGATAGAATTAATTAAGCAATATATTTAAGTTAACTCACGCAAGATTATATAATATTCTTTGAACTTCTGTCAGCATTAATTCATGTGATGTTTAACTTTCTAGTTACATATAATTGGTAATCAAGATATGACCCTTCCTTTCTTTTTCTCACATCAATTAACAAAACACGGTCTCCAACCTCAAACGCTCTCTTCCTATAGATAGAAATCTCTTCTACAATCTCCATCTTTTTGGTTTATTTTTCTTTAAAAATATTATTTGCAGGCAATGTACTGTCAGTGTCCACTGCTGATTTCAATGTACTGCTGGGCTCTTCCTGCTCTTGGTAATAAGGACACAACAAATGCAGTTTGATAAAGAAATAGAGAGAGGTTTCTTTAAATCAATGGAGATATCCTATCTCCTAGAACTGGAAGGGACCTTGAAAGGTCATCAAGTTCAGTCCCCTGCCTTCACTAGCAGGACCAAGTACTGATTTTGCCCCAGATCCCTAAGTGGCCCCCTCAAGGATTGAACTCACAACACTGGGTTTAGCAGGCCAATGCTCAAACCACTGAGCTATCCCTCTCCCCATTATTCAGTATTCCTTTACTGAATCATCACAAATTAACTTAATTGTATTAAAGACACTGGCACTTAGTGACACATAACATGAAATTTGGTGAAGCTTTCTTGGGAAACCTTTCTTCTCGGCCATAAATCAGTCAAAAGGGTGATATTTTTGTTGTCGTGTGAGGTTTAGAATACAAAGAAAATAAAATTGCTCCAGGAAATTCATCACAATTCCTCTGGGTTCTGTCCACCACCTTCTGGAATGCTCTGTAAAAATAGTGACCAATTGATCTAATTCCTTGAAATTAGTGATTGAACCTAATTTCTTGAAGCACTACCTGAGCAGAGTCTGAGGGGAGGCACATCACATGGCATTGCTTTTTGTTTTAAACGTGATGCATTATGAACATTTTCAATGTAATAATTCAGTTTTGAAGATTTATTCACAATATGCCATTCATGGCAGTGTGCCCTAAACTTACCTTGATTATTTGAAAATAAATACCCTAAAATTATCTTGTGATGGATTCATTTGTGTTTTTATCCCATCTGCTGGTGTCTAGGTGGCATGGGCTGCTGAAGCTATGTGTTTTTCCTAGTTTTTAATACAGGGAAATGTTAATCTAAAAATAGATAATTTCCCCCTAAAATTTCCTTCAGAAATATCTGTGTTTCTTTCCCTATTTCTCACTGACTTATGTGTAATTACTGTGTTTTCTTATCCAATCTTATTGTGTTATTACATGGGGAAATATGTTGGCAAATAGGTTAATATACAACATGGTTTTTACTAACTGACAAGACATAAAAATGTGTTGTCACTCACAATTGACAGCATGAAGTGTCAGGAAGAGATTGCAGGAATGTTCATTTTTAAATTTCTAATTATGAATGGGCTCCCCCATCAGTTCCTGCAACCCCTGGCTGGCAGACCTCTCTGTGAATTAAGCAGCATGCAGTCTGCCAGGGAACTTCCACCAAGTGTCTTTATGACTTTTTATGGTGCATCACAACATAGCAGCAGTTACGAGCAGCCCCCTTCCTGCTCCCTGGTTCAGACTTTTACACTGCTGCTTTCTTCTCAGCGCTGAGCTAGTGACCTCACCAGGGCTCCCCACAGGGAGCTGGGAGCCTCCAGGCAGCAGTCGGGCTGGCAGCATGGAGCAGGGCAGGCTCAGCCCAGCTCGGAGCAGGAAGCCTGGGCAGCAGCTAGGCTGGGAGCGGGGTGGGCTGTGGGGCATCCAAGCTCCAGGCACGGAGGGCACAGCCAGGCTAGGACAGGGGAGCCTCAAGGCAGCTGGGCCCTAGCTGGAGCCTCCTACCTGCAGCCCCCTACCTGCCCCCGGAACAGCCTGGCTTTTTAGTCAGCGGAGCCATGAAACTGCCAAGAATGACAGCCAACAGCTGATGTAAGTGAGACAGTGTCTACACACACACTGCATCACCCTAACTACACCCACATAAGCCCTGCGCCTCTCATGGAGGTGGAGTTGTTATATCAGTGTAGTAGGGCAATTACATCAGTGGGAGCAAGGCTGTAGTGTTACACTGACACAATTAGTTTGATGTAATCTGCCTTACATCGATCTAACTCTGCAGTGTAGGACCAAGCCCCGGTCCCAGCCACGGCGATAACTATTCCCTACGCTGTACTCCTGGGCAGCCTCCTCGATGGCAACCACCCTGTGAGCGCGGTGAGCCCGGGATTGGATCCAAGCACATATTCACTGGGATTGTCCAGCATTCCAGGGAACCAAAGCTTCCAACTCTTGCCAGGCATGTTCGAGGGAAAATCAGAAAGTCCCAGTTGTTGATCTCAGGCTCAGGAGCTCCCTCCTCTGGTTCAGACCACAGGAGGCTGGACACCTGCCATTTCCAATGCACAAGCAAAGTAGCGTGAATCCCTGTGCAGGAGGTGTGCGTTGGGAAAGTCGGCCTGTGACCGATCTCTGGGTGGAATGTCGGAGGAGGATTTCTGGGTGTGGTTTCCAGTGTTGTGTTTGGTTTGGTTTGTATAATTCCTCCTCTAGGTAAGCAGGGAGGGATGTAAGGCCAGATTTTCAGAGGTATTTAGTGCCTAGCACAACAGGATCTTTGGTCCATGACTGGTGAGCTCCAAGGTGCTACAAGAATAAATAGTAATAATAAAGGGATAGAGAGGAATCAGTCTGTGACTCTCCTGCTCCAGCCTTCCTGACCTTTGCATGTGGACTGGACTTTTAATGTGTAGAGACAACATAATCACAAATCTTCTATAGACCCAGAGTGCACTGCGTCAAAGTAATCCCCAGGCTCTTATCATAGTAACGTGTGTCTGTCTGGGCCCTGGTGGTGTTTAGGTCTCAGCTCTGGTGCGGAAACAAATCCCTGAACAAAACCCTGATCCTGCCCCCCAGATAACTGCTGTTTCAAAAAACACAAAGCCAAACAGTTAATCCTCATATTTGAACAGACAGGTGGGGTCACAGATCTGCACCATTCATTGAGTGCTACTTCATGTTTGTACCACAAGAGGGTTGCATTTGGGAGTTGCAAATACTTATCCCCCCCCGTCCCACAGTCAAGAAGGAGCTGATCCCACAGAGTCTAGCAGAACCTTTGGGTGTATCCAAGCCCCACTGAGCAGCTGCCCAGCTCAAGGGGACCAGGAGACCTCAGGGTATTTCGAATATCTGCCTGAGTTACTGTGAGCCGCATCTCAGTTTGGTCACTCACATGGGTGATGTTTATTTTGTGGGAGGAGCTTAGAATACTTTCTCCAACATCCTTCCTCCTCCCCTGCACCGCTCCCCTAACCTGTACTCTGATCTGTATATTCCTGTCACTCAGCCTACACTGCCACAGCCCTGCTGGATTTAACATCCTCCTCAGACCAAACAGATCACTGTTGTTGCTTGGAAACAAGCCAGAGGTTAAAGGGAATTCTGGGTTCTCCCATTCAAGTGAGAAACATCAAACCCCAGCTCAGCAGCAAACACCAACACAAGTCACTGGCCTGCTGCCCTCAGGTCTAATGAGGGTTCTAAAAGAAAGTTATTGATTGCAAAAGGCACCGGTGTTGTCGTTCACCAGAAGGTCTGAGATCATGTCCGCCCAAGGCAACACGTCCTTTGGTGAGCCTGTCTTTCGGAAGCTCTGTCCCTGCACAACAACCTGGCATCTGATCCTCAGCCGAGCCCTTTCCATGGAGAGTGAGGTGCAGGATGGAGGAGAAGGCTGAGAGGTGTC